CATGTTGCCAGACTTGTTTTTCAACTCCCAACATTCTCAATTACAATGACTCTTAACTATTCAACCATTATATTTTTCAAAATATAACAAACTAAATTATTTTATATATATAATATTAGGACAAAAATATAACAAATCAAAATATAGGGACTAAAAATGATATAGTTGACCGACTCTTAAATATATACCAGGCAAAACATTAAGTATATATAAAAATGAAAAAGAAGGATAACTTATTGACGATCCTCTTGTGCATGATCTCAATAAAAAGAGTAAATTATTACGATCATGGAGAGTCAATCATAATACATGGTGGATGTACCGTATAAATTTCTACATCAATAAGTCGTTGTGAAAAGAGCTGCAACCGATCTAAAATAACTATACTACCATCCGCAATTAAAATATAATTACAGATTGTCAACCTTGAGCATAATTAAATTGATGAAGATATTAGTGACTTCTTTTTAGGTTCAAAACCGGACTTCTATACCTTTTTTTTCTTTTTAATTCAACAAAGGAGGGGAAGGATTTGGAGCTTTTGACCATATATATGGACTAACAGAATTATACTTACATCCAATACATTTGTAAGGTTATTACTCTAAAAGAATTTAATTATAAATTGTAAATGGAGAGTTTTGAAAACCTTCTCCATCTTAAACAATGCAATTATTTTCAAACCATGGCTATGTTGAAATTGAATAGTTATATATTAATTAAAATTTCAACATATAGTTATTAAGTTAAATAAAATAATAAAAAATCAATTTCAAATGTAAACTTGAACCATTCAAATTAAAATTGAAATTACTAATAAAAAAAATATTTTATGAAGCATGGTCATTGCAAGATTATCAGCTCACCAACCCATCATTGAAACAAATATTAGTTTGGTTTCAACCAATTCCTTTGCCTGACAAGTGTGAACTCTAAATTCAAATCCTTTTCCCTTTCCTCTTTTACTTCTCCTAATTTCCTAACTAATATTATTATTTAATTTTGTAAGAAAATTTAGAGGTCAAAGTTCAAACAACCCATGATGTTTATTTTCTCCCACCTACTTTTACAAAACGAATAAAAAAATAAGAAAAGTAAAATATTTCTTTCCGTCTAACTATTTGAAAAATACTTGATATACGATAAATCATCAATATTTATAATGATAAATTATACGTGTCTTATCAGTCACTAGAACTATGATCATATTAACTACGACATGCTGCTTTTTATTAGTTATTTGGTATGTATATTTTTTAAGATATGTCTTTATCTCGAGTCAGTATCAAATTTCACTTATACACGACGATAAACATATTTATATCTTATTACCGACATTTCTTTACTCGAATCATACAACGTCTTATTGAAAAGTTCGAGAGTGTAATGGAAATAAGTGATTTTTTATGTTTTCTTTTCGTTAATTTCAATTATGATATCACTTGGTCTAAATTTAAATCATTTTTTAGAGGAGCATTAAAATAATAATAGGGCGTGGCGGCAGAGGGAGTTTGGTGAAGGAAATGGAGGAGGTATTGCCGAAGGTTGGGTAAATGTGTCTTTTTYCATCCCCTATTTTATTTTTTTATTTTTATTATTATTTTATTAAAGGTTGTGGTTTAGAATTTGACACGTCACTGTTTCATCTGGCTTTTTTGTGCTGACGTATTTCACACGTGTGTCTGTTGAGTGGCCGTTTTGTCTTTTCCATACGTGGGTAACTTTGATAAAGGGGACGAAAAGTATCGGTTGTTGTTCAATTCATTTTTAGAATTGTTGATTAAAAAATAATTATTTTTCAACTTTTAAGTATTTTAGGAAAAAATCAATTTTTAATCCCTAAACTTAGTTAGTTGTATTAATTTTCCTCCGAAATTTTCAATTTGATTTAGATCAAATTGAATTCATAAAAGTTCAATTTTTATTCTTTTTTATTTAATTTCCACTAATTTTGATTAAAAAAATTTATCTAAAACACTCTAAAAACTCATTAATTTAATTAAAAATTAAATTTTGATCCAGACACAAAATCTGCTCTTGAACAACTCTACCAAAACTTACCAAGTTTAACCATTTCTAATGTCTTTTTTTTTCCTATCCTATTATTTTATTATATATATATGTATTTTTTTTAGAAATTATTCTATGAATTTCAAACCAAATATAATTCACGACACACGTGAGAATACTTTTTTTAACAATTATTCAAATGAAAATTTATTGGAATGTAAATTGCAACACTTTTTAAAGTTTAAGTGAATTTTACAACACTTATGAAAGATTAAGGTGCAATTTGATAAAATTGAAGCCAACGTGARCTTAGCTCAACGGTAATTAACACCAATTTTTGACTAAAAKGTTATGAGTTCGAATCTTTACACCAYCACTTGTTGTACTAAAAGAAATGATAAAATTGGAAATTTAGGGTAGACYAGTAACTTTCCACTCAATTGCGGCGTCTATATTAATAATTTAAATTTAATACCAAAGCGAACATGGTTGGTAATTTACATATATCTTCACCCCACATATACTCAGAAAAGGAAAAAAAAAATTCTAATCTAGCGAGTCAATCCAAACTTTTATTTAATAAGTCAAATCTATATTGGATCTACTTCTCGGAGATTGAACCAATCCAATCCAAATATAATCCGCTTTTTAAATCCCTTAAACTTGAATTTGAATATGTATCTTTTAAGATTGAGAGAATGGATGAGAATGAAATTTGTACTTGTTGGTATCTATCAAACAATACCTATACATACTTATTTATTTGTACCATCACTCATGTATACTCCAATTTGTTTTAAGTTAATTTCTCCAAGGAACACCAATCGGTGTGTGTGTGTGTGTGTGTATATATATATATATATATATATATAAAACTTAGCATAGTTCCATTAGTTAAGACATACATTATCAATAAAAAAATTGGAGGTTCGAATTCCCACCTCCTATATTGCTGAATTCAGGAAAATATTTATTCATTTTTTAACCAGAAAAAGAAAGGGAAAAAGAAAGAAGAATCTAATGGTTATCATGTTTATTTTTAAATTGTATAACACAGACAAATAGATTACAATGTGTAACCATGTGAACGAAATTCCATATAGATCAGACAAATGACCTTCACTCATGGCAAGAAATGATCTATTTAACAAAGGAATGAGTGGCTTTCTCCCATCTAACAGATCAACGGCACCGAGCATGGGATACACAAGCAAGAGAGCTGATTTGACCGAACAAACTAGATGAGCGGGATTGATTTAAAGCAAAAGCATTATGCCAACTTGCGTACAAGATTGATATATGGATTTAATACTCTAGTTAACTCCTATTCAACAGTTTTTTCATATAGAATGTTCAAGATCTATTGGTTTCTTGTTAACTAGCTCCAAACAATTACAACAATACAAATCTAACTAAATATTGTGTATATGTCAGAAATACATAGAATTAAAATTGAACTAGTGGAGAAATACAGAAGTGGAAACGACCGTGGATAATGAGAATGACAGCAACAATGAAGCGATGATAACAATCAAATTGAACTCGATAAACTTTGCCTTTTTTTTTTTTTGCTCATCTTTTTTCACCATTTTTCTTCTTTTCAACTTTCAACCACCTTTTTTTGCTTTTAGGTTTGCCCCATGTACTCAATATGAGCATCTCAGACTACCTAATCMTTTCCTTGCACATAAATGTCAAAGCAACAAAAAGGAAAATGTTACATCTAAGTTTTATTCAAAGTTTTTAGATTGAATTGTAAACTTATTGAAACCTTAAAAATTAAAATATAATTTTTTTTTTTAACTTTACCAACCCAAACAAACACAAAAATTTAAAGACAAGAATTACATTTTAAACTATTAAATATTTTATTGAGATGCTTAGGAAGATTAATGCACATTTTGTTTTACAAATTTCATTAATTAAGTATTTATGAATAACAAAAAAAAATTATACCAGCGCTATAAAAAAATTTATTTAATAGGCATGTCACGTCAATTTTTTTTATTTTTTTTGTTAAAACTAAATAAAAACATAATCTAAACGACTCTAAAGCCTCTCTGTTTCTTTCCTTCTTTTTTGTCAAACTTTTATTTAATCTTACCAACTTTCTTTCTAGGAAAACATCACTTTCTTTACTTAAAGAGGATCTTTGGAAAACTTGTGAATTCAAAAGAGGCAGAATTGGAAATGTCCCAATGTTTTCCCATTTGATTCTATTTCCCACTYGCTTCATAAAAAATTCCCAAGCTAACATGTTCTTTGAAAACAATAGAGAGATGTRAATTCTCCTACCTACCCCTTTTTCAAATCAAATAAATATAGCCTTCAAAATTGAAAATTCCAAGAATTTTGCTGGTTTGCGAGTTGGGACTCATTTTCATTCTTTGAATAGCATCAAGAAATTTCTCAAATAAAATATATTTTTTCATTTTCTCTTAAAATAAAGAATTAATTGTTAATATAGCTCAACGAATCTTGTCACTCCTCCTCCGTGTTGTATTAAAAAAATAATGAATAAACAACTAATTCTATTGAATTTTCCAAAACATTAATAGTTATATAATTAATTTAAAACCTCAATTTTCCAAGATTGCTTTTATTATAACTTCCTTTTTAGGCTATATATGTACGTATACATATATATTTACTATTATATATAAATATCATTTTTGTTAAACTTTACTACTATATATTTTTACCATATTTTCTTTTATGGATAGGCATAAACTTCTGTATTTTGTGACTCGATAAGTCATATTTACTTTAAAGAATTATGTTTATAAAGTATCTATAATATTAAAGAAGAATGAAATCTAATATACTATTATATTTTTTAATTAGTAAATTTTAATTTATCTCAACTGTAATTGACATAATTGACATATCTAAGGTTACGAGTTGGATCCATGTATTAAAAATTTATAGTTACTTAGCTCAGCTGGGCAGATTAATTTTTAAAATGTATAGTTTTAATCGTAACAACCATCTCAGATAATGAATGTGATTTAGCCATAAAAAATAATAATAAATTAACCGATTAAGTACAAAATTTTTACCTTAAATTAAATGGTTCGGTAATTTCCCTGAATAAAAAGAGCCATCTCTGTGACTGTTCTTCCCTGCCAAACCAGGTTGTATCCCAAGAGCAGCAAATCGAGCGCTCCGCCGTCGCCTCCGTCGTCATTTTCTGGCCGCCGCCGTGAACAGAAACCCTCGCACACAGAGCTTGACCACTCTCCCGCTCCAATGGACGGTCCGAAGCCTCACGTCGCTTACCAAGGCGTTCCCGGCGCCTATTCCGAAGCCGCCGCC